ATCGCACACTAAACTCCCCCTTCGCTCTAGGTCAGGAGGGGGCGTGGCAGTGCCATTCATGTCAATGGCACTGCAGACACGCCCCCAGCCCTGAAGTGCATGCATGATTTTATGCGAATGTGCTGCACAGGAACGCAGGACATTGTATTACCACACAGCCCTGTGCAGCCGATCACACTGCGGACGGGGGTGTGCCAGCTGCTGGAACACACAGCAATCGCACAAGTCAGATCTCCGACAGTCCTCTGCACCTGAAATTATACACAGAACAGTCGCATGTTAAGAAGTCCTCAAGAGGTCTTCTTAGGGCCAGTTCACAGCAATTGCGGTGTGTTCCAGAGCGGTAGCTGCTGGAATGCACAGCAATCGCACACTAAACTCCCCCTTCGCTCTAGGTCAGGAGGGGGCGTGGCAGTGCCATTCATGTCAATGGCACTGCAGACACGCCCCCAGCCCTGAAGTGCATGCATGATTTTATGCGAATGTGCTGCACAGGAACGCAGGACATTGTATTACCACACAGCCCTGTGCAGCCGATCACACTGCGGACGGGGGTGTGCCAGCTGCTGGAACACACAGCAATCGCACACTAAACTCCCCCCTTCACTCTGGGTGCGGGAAGGGGTGTGGCGGTGCATTAGATGGCACCGCAGCTTGACCAACCTCCCCCCCCCCCGCAATCGGACGCGTGGCAAAACATTGCCTGCATTCCGGTCTAGTGCGAGCGCAAAGAAATGCTGCGTGCTCTATTTTTTTGCATTCACATTGGACCGGAAAACACAGGCAATGTTTTGCCACGTGTCCAATCACACTGCGGGTCCGGGGCGTGGCTGCAGTGCCATCAACTTCAATGCACCGCCACGTTTAGTGTATGATTGCTGTGCGTTCCAGCAGCTAATGCCCTGGAACGCACGCAATTGGGGTGAACTTGCCCTTAAAGTAGTGCTGCCCATGATATCTTGTCATAAATGTCTTCTCACTTCTTCTTTAACCCTTTCGCTGCCAAGGACGTACGTCGTACGGAGCTACAAAAGTGCTTCCAGCTGGCCAGCTCAGTACGTCGTACGGACCTGGCATTTACAGTTCTACTATAAGCTGATGATCGCTTTAGCGACCATCAGCTTATAGTAGAACTGTTCAGCAGACTGTCCCCTTTAAATTAATAGCTGTCATCAGCGGCTTTTTAATTTTTTAAAATACCGGCCGCCGGCATCTGGAGTCTCTCATCCCTCCCTGGAGCCATCCCAGGGAGGGATGAGGGACTCCATGGATCCCCACTGCTTGTAGGGTCTGTGGAGTGTGGAAAACAGTTCTACATACCCTTCCCCTTTCTGTCTAAACTTTAACTTCCCATGTTAGTGACTGGTATGTGAAAGGGTTAAAGAGAGTCAGAGGTTATGCTCTGGTAGTTCTGGGAAGCAGTGAACTGTGCACTGGCACACAGCAAGGGGAGGTGGTGCTGGAATTTGCTTCTTCCTATTGTAACAGTTGCAGAGACTGGATTAAGAGCTCTGTCATAGATCAAAGGATACAAAGTAGAAGAACCTTCCCTGTTTGCAACATCTTCTCCATGTCACATATATGTCCATTATTTGTTTCTCCCCCATGTCACATATATGTCCATTATTTGTTTCCCCCCCCCATGTCATATATATGTCCATTATTTGTTTCCCCCCCATGTCATATATATGTCCATTATTTGTTTCTCCTCCATGTCAGGAATCTTCCTTCTCCCGCTGTGCCTCTGCCTCTCATAAATCATCTCTCTTCTACTTCACACTCTTTCAGAACCCCCCCCCATCTTCCAAATCTTCTCCCTTGTCTCTCCCACCCTCATTAATTTCTCTCTATGTCGCCCCCTCCAAGTGGCGTAACAAGGGGGCTGCGGGGGGTACGGCCTGCACCCGGGTGACACCATTGGAGGGGTGACACCAAAATGACTGACAGTCATTTTGGTAATCTCGGCGACATTGTATGTAGCCTGCAGATCTGCCATTCTCGATGGGGGGAAGGGGGCGGGTAGGGGGGGCGTATTGAGGAACCTGGCCTTGGGGCAGCATACCTTATCCCGCTGGGTGACTGTCCCCTCCTCTCTCTGCCGGTATCCATCACCAAGATGGCCGCCGGCAAGTATCAATAAGATGACCGCGCCTGCGCGATGATGTCACAGCGGGGTATCACCTGGTATCCGCTCAGGGTGACACCCTGCCACGGGATGCCACTGCACCCTCCTTCTCCTCCTCAGTCTTATAAATGTTCTCTCATAAACCTCTCTCTCTCTCAGCAGCCGCACCTCTAAAAGCTCTCTGCGACCTAAATGACTATAGTTGCAGCAAATATGTGACCTGCTGTTCTACTGCAAAGTCCAAATCCCATTCGCACTGCCACGCTCTCAAAACCACAAGGTATGTGTGGTGCCCAGGTGACCAGACGGATGGCGTCGTGCAAAACACTAAGGCCCCATTCAAAATGAGCGACTTGCGATATTGAGCGATATTGCGCGACTTGCGATATTGAGCGACTTTTTCCTATTGGGCTGTATGCAATCAGGAGCAAAATCGCCCGAAACAAGGGTCATGTAGGAGCTACAAGCGATATTGAGCGATATTGAGCGACGAGATGTGAACAGCTCCATTGAAATGGATTGGAGAAGCTACATAGAGCGATATCGTGTGGAAATATGAGCGATATCGCTGCAAAAATCGAGTGATAAATCGCTCAGTGTGAATGGGGCCTAATAGTAAATAAAAGTAAATCACCGGCACACACTTGAAGGGTTTTTAAAGTATTGATACTGTCGCTCTGATGAAGGATCCCTGTGTGGACCCGAAACGTTAGCACCGTATGGCAGTATGTGACATTGGGTATTGAATAAACATATCAATACTTTAAAAACCCTTCAAGTGCGTGCCGGTGATTTACTTTTATTTACTACTGCTGTTCTACTACACATTCCTGAACCCATACAACACTAGAATAATAATTCAGTTGCACATTGCGGACAAATTCTGTGTTGCGTTTTATTGTCGCATCAATATATGACTACAATG